CAATCCAATGCCTCCACCATATCATCCAATACCATCAAAGGGCAATCTGGTCTTCCCCAGTACAATCTAGTCCATCTTCCACGGGATCCACTTCCACCCATGATGGACCCATGCTACATTGAGAGGTACAAAAGACTAAACTCATATACTTTCACAGGGGTATCCTCCTTTGAAGAAGTTGAGTACTAGTTAGCTGAGACAGAGAAAACTTTCACGACTCTTGGGGTGGTTCCCAAATAGAGAATTATACTTGCCACCTACATACTGGTGGGAGAGACAGGTCGCTGGTGGCAGCTCAAGCAGGCCACCCTGCCCGTTCCAGTCACTTGGAAACAGTTTCTGATGGCATTCAATGCAGAATACCTCTTAGAGCACCTCCGATATCTGAAAAAAATGAAGTTTGCACACTTATTCCAATGTGATATAACTGCATCAGAGTATGCTCGAAAGTTCCTAGAGTTGGGTCGGTATTTCCCTGAGAGCATGATGGATGAAGGTAGAAAGGCAAAAAAGTTCGAGTGGGGCCTCCGTCCTGAGATTAGACAGCAACTGTATGTGTTCGAGCTCAGTATTTACTCAGCCGTTCTAGCCAAGGCACAGTTAGTGGAGAGGAACCTTCGTATTTTTCCTCCAGTAGTAGGGAATCTTAGGCTCCCAGTTTCACACCGCAGACCAGCACCCATTGCACCTATTCAGCAGAATAAAAGACCTAGGCCAGTGACTCAGGCTCCTCTTTAGATTCCGGTAATAGGATGCAGTAGGACTTGTCAGCAATATGGTAAGGATCACAGGGATTGTTCCTGTTATCACCTCAATAATACTTGTCGTATATGTGGGAGTGCCCAGCACTACGCAAGAGAGTGCTGGGGGAATCAGAAGTAGGCAAGTCCTCCTATCTAGGGCAGAGCTTACAACCTCATTCAGTAAGATGCAGAAGTCAACTCAGACGTGATACATGGTACATATACTATCTGTAATCATCTTGCACATATTTTGATTGATACTGGTGCCTTACATTCATTTGTCTCATATACTTTTACATCAAACTTAAATATATTACTTGAAAGACTTGATTTTTATTTATGTATACTCCTAGGAGTATAACACTATTAAAGGAGATTATATACGAAGTTTATATCATAGATATAACAGATAAAAAATTGAGTGTGGATCTAATAGAGATTGACACAATAGACTTTGATATAATCCTAGGAAAAAACTAGCTAGCGGCGTATCATGCCACCGTAGATTATTTTCACAAGAAACTTATATTCAACCCTCCTAATGAAGAGTCATTTACAAATTAATAAAATTTTTAAACATTATTCCCTCATTGTAATTTTTCTATTATAAAGTGCTTTAACTCGACTGTTTTCTCTAACTAGGCAAACCTAAGAAAATAAATTTGCATTTGAGAGATTCTACGGATTCTTACCCGAATCGATATTCGAAAATAAATTTACATTCGCGAGCGGCGATAATTTGCCTCGGGTTGGTTTTTTTCGGCCTTTTTTGCCAAATTCGGCCAAATTTGCATCGGTTCCTATGAGAAAACATACTTAAGGCTCTTGGTGGGTCGAAAAAACGTAGAAAATTGAAACTCATCGGCGGTGGGGCTCTCCAGTGCGGTGGCTCCTTCGACTCATGTTGCGGTTGAGTGTTTTACTCCAATCAATCTGTAGAGAAAGAAACGGTGATCACAACAGTGAAAAAATTACATCAAACGGGAATCAGGAAAGGC